CATGGCCTCTTTTTGGGGGCCATAGTGTAGCAAAGTGTTGGCAGTGTGTTTGTTGTTTTGTTTTGTGTATATTTGTGTGGTAGTGGCTGTCAATGTTTGCTTGCTAGAGAGAAAATCTAGCTGAAGGCAGAAATTTGCCAATGGAACATGGATGAACCCAGGAGGTAGCCCAAGCCAAAAGTTTGGTGTCAAACTTTTGATGTTTTTATGTTTCCTTTTAATTTAATAATAAAACAAAAAAGTTTGAGGCCTAAAAGTTTGACATCAAACTTTTTTTGTTTGATTTTTAAGGTGGTTTGTCTATTCCCCACCCACACCTCTCGACCACCAAACTCCTTTTTTTCGGAAAAGCAACTGGCCATCTTTTGGGCCAGCTTCCAAGCCTTGCTCAGGCTCTGCCTGGTCTCTTACCAAGCTTTCTTGCCTACAGCCTTGTTCAGGCTCTGCCTGGTCTCTTACCAAGCACTTGCCTACAGCCTTGCTCAGGCTCTGCCTGGTGTTGAACCAAGCATTTTTGCTTGCAGCCTTGTTCAGGCTCTAGAATTCAAGTACCTTCTTGGATTGCTTTTTTCTTTTCTTTTCAGCTTCTCTTTCCTCCTCCTGCTCCTCTTCTACAGGCTCCTCCTCCTCCTCCTCCTTACCACCATCATGGTCAGCACAGCCTTGTTCAGGCTCTATTGGGTTTGCTTGCTCAGCTTCTACTGGCTGTGGTTGAGCCTGTGTCTCTAGCAAAGGCTCTTCTTTTGCTTCACAGCCTTGCTCAGGCTCTTGTGGTTGAGCCTCTGGCTCAGGCTTTGCTTCACAGCCTTGCTCAGGCTCAGCTGGTTCTGGTATTGCATTCAGCCCTTGCACAGGCTCTGGGTTATCCTTCACCTCTTGTGGGGACACGGTTTCAGAGGTGTTTGAATAAGATGATGGTGTTCCTGGACTGGCAGCCTTGCCTTCTCCAGGCACCTTTTCCCCCAACTGTTCCTTTTGTACCTGGGCAGGTGTCCCTTTTGAGGGAGGTGGCTTGCTTGGGCTTCTGGGCTTTCTTTCCCTGGACTTTGCTTTGCTCTTTCCCTTTTCCTTGCCTTTCCCAGGCTCCTTACTTTTTGGTCGCTTTTGGCCTTGTCCAGGCCCTTTGCCTTTGCCTTGTTCAGGCTCAGCAGCAGCAGCTGCTGCTGCTGCTGCTTCCCTGGCAAGGGACACCAAATAGGCCATTTCTTTCTTGATGGCCTTCATGTCAAGCACCTGAGGAAGGAGATGCTCAGGCACAGGCTGCCCTTCCCTCATCAACTTCCTCTTTGGGATTCCCTCCCTTTCAAGTCCCACCTGCTGGGCCTGAGGGGTGTCTCATCCCTTGACCTTGAAGGTGACCTTGACTTGCCTTGCCCAGGCTCTGTTGGTGTAGAAGGCTGTGACCATGAGCCTTGTTCAGGCTCTGAGGGGGTTGCTGGCTGTGACCAGCCAGCCCAGCTCTGCCAGCTTTCCCAGCCTTGGTCAGGCTCCCACTTGTGCTCAATTTTTGTTCTGTAGCCAGTTGACCTATCCCACCACCCAAATTCCCAATTTCTATGGTAGCCTTGCTCAGGCTCTTGTGAGGGTGCCAAGAACTGGATGAACTGGAGGCTTGGCCTTGTGCAGGCCCATACCCACCAAAATAACCCTGTGAAGGGTCATAGCTGAAGGGTCATTGCCTTGCGCAGGCTCAACAGGCTGCAAGGGGGTGGCTTGCTCCCACCCATTTTGTTCAATCCCCCAGTGGGGGCGCACCCATCTGCCTGTGTCAGGGTTGAAATAGGGAGCTTCCTCATCAGTCTCCCATTCCTCTTCCCAAGCACAGCAGGCAGATTCACCTGCGATGAAAGCACCTATGGTCCAATCATCTTCAACAGCCTTGTTCAGGCTCTCCTCATCTTCAGGCATGAGGGTGTACCACTTGCCTTGAAGGCTTTGGTACCACCTCTGGCCCTTAAATTCTCTGACCCTCCACCACCTGAAGGCAGAGTAGCCAGGCTCAGCCAAGAGTGCTAGGCTGAGCACAGCCTTGTTCAGGCTCAATGCAGGCTCAGCCATGAAAGGCAGGATGAGCAAAGCCTTGCGCAGGCTCAAAGCCTTGTTCAGGCTCTTGGTGGCCAGGCATGCCACCAGGCAAGCCAGCAGCACAGCTGCCATGGCTGAGAACCTAGAACACCTAGGTTGGGAGGACTTGTCCTACACATGGTGCGACCCTTTGTGCTATGTTGTCATGTAATATTTTGTCCTACATGGTTTGCTTAGCAGTTTGGTAAGTATGGGTGTATGTGGTGGATGCTGTGAGTGTGTGTGTGTGTGTGTGCAAGTTGCTGTTGCTTGACATGAAGTCTTGCTTGAGCCAAAACATCAGGTTGTGTGGACTTGGGTTTAGGCTTTCTGGTTTGGAGTTTGTTTTCTGTAGCTACCTTTTTTCACTCATGCTATGAAAGCTTTTTGTGAAACTTGAAACATAGCCTTGCCCAGGCTCTTCACCACCCTGTGGGAATCATTCTTGGGAAAACTCTTTTTGAACCATTGCCTTGCCCAGGCTCTACACCAGCCTCCCCCAGGCTCAATTGCCCAGGCTCTACACCAGCCTCCCCCAGGCTCAATCAACATTTCTGGTGGCACTGACCAAGTCATTCTTGAAAGCAACAAGCTGTGCCTTGCTCAGGCCCTGCTCATGCTGTGCCTTGTGCATGAGGGCTGACATGATCCTGTCTTGCTCATGCCCTCTTTCTCTTTCCACATTGACTAAGCAATATGGTTTGCTGTGTGCATCATTCCTGGCCTGTATGTAGGCCTTCTTGGCTGCCTTTGTGGGCTTGACCCAAGAAAAAGACATTGATCCATGCCAAGCCCCACTGGCAGCCATTTCAATGGGAGGCCTTGCGCAGGCTCTGGCAGCCTCTCCATCCCCCACATCAGCTGCAGGCCTTTTGCAAGCTCTTTTTGCTGCTGGCCTTTTCTGTGCAGCTGGCTTTTTCAATGCTGATGGCCTTTCCATGCCTTCCAAAACCTCTGCACCAATGCAACCACTGCTTGCCTTACCCAGGCTCGATCCAGCTGAAGAACTAATCTCCTCCACCAAAGAAGAAGGAGACAGCTCAACCTCTCCAGAGTCTTGGATGATGATTGGTGAAAGATTTTTGGAAGGTGGTGACTTAACTGTCAACCTCCTCTTGATGCCTTGCACAGGCCCTGCTTTGCCTTCCACAGGCTCTGCCTTGCCTTGGGCAGGCTGGCCATACACAGCATGCATGAGGGAGAGAACTGCTGGAGTTGTTCTCACTCCACTCTTGAGATTCTTCCATTTCCTCAAAGTCCATTTTCTCACTTCCATAATGCAATTTGCAATCATTCTGGCTTCACTGGCCTGCAGCCTTTTGCAGGCTCCTTGGAAAACCTTTTGCACCTTCTGCTTCTGAAGGTGTCGCTTCAAAAAAACTGTCAAGAAGCCATGGTGCCTTATGCAGGCTTGTTCAGGATCTGCACTCCAATTCTTGGGATCCCTGGTGTCAGGAAAAGCATTTACCAGGGCCACAAGCTCCTCATCATTGCCTTTGTCAGGCTCTACAGGCAAGCATGCAGCCATGGCACTCTTGACCAATCACTGTGCACAGTGTGCTTTGCAATTGTGATTCCTGTTGTGATTAGATGTAAATCTGTTCATGCAACCATACAAAGAAGAGCTTCTTTGAATAACAAAGAAGAGCTTCTTCAATGTTGAAGAAGTGCTTCTTGAAGGCTCCAAGAAGAGCTTCTTTATTTTTGCATGTTGAAAAAAGAGAAGCTTAGTTTCTAAGCTGCTAGAGCATCAAAAGGCTGCGAAGAAGACAGGTTTCTTAGCTTCGAAGCTTAAACCCATGCTTCCAAAAGGTAGCTTCTCAAAAGTCAGAAGCCACAAAACAGGGATCGCATCTAAGAAACTGTTCTTCTTGGAGGCTTAGGGCAATCGCGCTCGGCGACCAATCGGCGGCACAAATAGTGAGAGAGAGAGAGAGAGACAGCCGTGCACGCATTCAATTTGTTGCCAAGACTCTTTCACACAGGACTGGAGATGCTTCATTTGTTTTCTCATCGAATCCTTGAAAAAAACATCGCAATGCCAAATTCAACTTGCAAGCTGTAAACGCCTGGTTTAATGTGCTGCCTGGGTGCTCCGCCAGACAAGCAATCCAGCATGTGGGAAACTTGGTGTTCTCGGTCATGACCTGCGCCAGCGGCTGAACTTTAAGTACTTTATTAAGCTGGCATGCATCTGGGATTGGATAAAACGCTTCTATTTTCACTTGCCATTGGGTCGTCGACTGGTCAGTAGATACGTCGAGTGAATCCAAATTGGATTCGAAAAGCCGCACATGAGCCATTCCAAATCAAAGTGTGTATCACACTCTGGGACTAAGGCCAATGTTGGCTATCCCCGCTTGGAAGCCTGCGCTATACTCATAGACTCGCTATTATATATATATATATTTACAGCTGCAGGATAATGCAAGCATAGCATCTAAGTTTTCCCAAAAACATCACACTGGCTTCCAAGAAACACACGCTCTATGTTTTCTTATTGGATCCGGAAGACTGTGCCTTTTCCGACACCTTCCGCTTTTTTCCAGTGATGGGTTCCATCTTCTGGTCAAAAACACTCAGGGATTTGTTTGCCTCTGCCACCAGTTTCTTGGTGTGCTCCACGTCCTACAAACGTATCACGCCACATATGTGTGTACAGTAAGGTACATACTGCCTGGTTGCTGTCCTTTGACCCAGCGTCCAAGGCTGTTTGCAACACCGTGCGCTTGCTGGAAATGTCCCGGACCAAGTTATCAATCTCCGTTTCGATTGCTTTCCGGACGTTGGGCGACCTTATAACTAGCATAGTGGGAACATGTTGAAGGGATCAAACATCACTACAAGCAACCAGGCCACCAAGTGCTCGTAGATGATTTCTTTTCAAGGGCGGTCTTGATTCTGCTGTTCATTGAGCCGATTGCCTGAAAGAGTAGTTATAGATAGTTTGTGCCTGCACGCGTATATGCACACAATATAGCACTACTAGCCTTCTTCAGGTCAGAGATCGACTGCTTGTGTTCTTCCTTTCTCTTTGCGGCTTCCTCTTCTTCGGGAGTCTTCTTGGTCTTCTTGTTCTTCTTGCGGTTCTTCTTCTTCTTCTTATTCTTTCCATTCTTTTCCTTCTTTCCCTTCTTTCCCTTCTTGTCTTTCTTTGATTTCTTCGACTTGGATACCTATATAATATATAGATCGGTGAATATCCAAATTTCAAAAAACACGAGTGTGGACAATTTCAGCCAAGCCTTGCCCTTCTTACCTTTCTTCTTACCCTTCTTCTCCTCCGACTGGGAGGAAGAGCTCCCGGATTCGGATTCCGAGTCAGAGGATCCGGACGCGTCGCTGTCGCTCACATCACGGCCTGTTCCTGAGTCCTTCAAGCGAAAGATGTCAGCAATGCGGCTGCATTCGAGCGCCTCTTCTTCATCCTGTACCAGAACTAGGTACTGTTGGACCGACGGGAGCTCGGGGTGATCCCGGACCTCAGACTCACGAAGCTGCTCGTCAGCGAGCTTTCGAGCAATGATTCCGTCCACTATGTCGGGATCGTTATCAAAGAAAGGCAACATTTGGGTACGGGTGAGCCATCTGCGCACACCTCTCTTTTTGTTTTCAGAACTGTTTGTGATCTCCTTGTAGATCGCACTGTTTGTCCACTCACCTCCGCATGCCCAAAAGTCCTCGTAGAGGGCACTTTGCTGGTCCTTGCCTAGGAGCTAATGGGAAGCATCTGTTATTCGAATTAAAATACTTAGATTCGAACACCATCGTGCGCTCTTGGCAAGCTGCTTGATCTTCTCTGGCGTTTTTGGACCTTACATGTACGGGCTATTGTATACTGCAAATTAGCACTGATCAGCATCATGCACTAGTTGCAAGCTAGGCGCTCTTGTTCACCGATCGCCAATACTTCATGTACATAGCATGCGCTCGCCTTTGTGATTCGGTTAGATCCTTATCCTTTGTCTCCTTTTCCTTCTTCTCCTCGGTCTCGGTCTTCTTCTTCTCCTTCTTCTCTGGTGATGCTGCTGAAGTCGCTTTGTCTTTTGCCTTGGTTGCTTGTGCTTTCACCTTGGGAGATACCTTTGGCTTTGCCTTGGGTTTCGGCTGACTCTTGGACTTTGGTGTTGCTTTGCCCTTGGGAGCTGGTGTTCGGGGGGCAGCAGGTTCAGGCAAACTCTCAGTTCTTGCTCTCCTCAACCTCTCCAACTTTGCTTGCTGAAGATGCTCCTTTGTGCGCTGAGATGCTGTACCTGCCAGACTCTCACCCTTGGCCTCATCCACCTTGGAACCATCCTGGCCCTTGTTGTTGTCAGTCTTCTTGTTTGGCCTCACTACAAGCTTTGTAGGTGCAGATTTGGGTTCAGCCTTGTTTGCTCCACTGTTGCTGCTACCCGTACCTTTGGGCAGATTCTTTGGTGCCGGGGATGGCTCGTACTTCTTGGTCTTAGCTGAACCTGGTGTCGGTGTCACGAGATCCACTGTACCTGCTCGGTTTAATGCTGCCCTTTCCTGTGTACCCAAAGATTCAGTCGACGAACACTGACCTAACACCAAAGTCTTGGATGAGCAGGACTTGCCAAACAGTCCCCTCCGAGCAGGGGTTGCAACAGCCGTCGTCTGACTCTCCTGCTTTTTTTGCGTACCTGAGGCTGCAATAAATCATCGATGATGGTCCGGTGGCACGGCTGGGAACATGGTGGGCGAAGGTTTTGTTCTAAGCGCTAGGCTCTGAAGTTCTTGAGTCTCCCAATTATCCTGGGGCTGGGCATCTTCTTCGTTCCTAGGGCCACGGTTAAGAGTTTCATGATCAATATTATAGATTGTTCTGCTCAAAACGCTAAGCCTCTAGCAAAACTCGTTTTCTTTCCAGTCTTGCGGCCGCTCTTGCAGCCCTAATCTTGGCCTTTTCCCGGGCTTCTGAAAGTTCCATGGCAAAAAAAGCCTATAGTAGCATGTGCTAGGCCCGAGTCACCTTGAACACAAAAACACAAAAAAATACCAATTCAAAAGGGTCTGTTTTCACGGGTTTTTCACGGCCTTTCACGCTGTTTTCACGGGTTTTTCACGGCCTTTCACGCGTACAGAGTTCGCTTCCGAAAACAATCGAATTTATCACGTTCGTATTGGTTTCGAACATGTTAATTAACAAAAGGCAGCTGCCTCTCACAATCACTCGAATTGGAAGGTAGGTTTAAACCTCCCTTCTTGAATCTCTGATTTAGGAAGCTTGAGATCTCACCAAGGCGGGCATGACGCCAATTTAGTGGGGCCTTCCTCTTTTCAGCCTCAACCAAAATGTAGCGGCTCAAGAGGTACTCTGTTCGAAGAAGCTTTCCCGCCTTGGTTCCAAGCCTTTTCATTGCAGCCAAGAACCTGAACCTTGAAGTATCCGCCTTGGCAGGGCTGGAAGGTTGAGATTTGGGTGGGATATGCGCCAGTCCTGTGTTCTACAAGCCATCCAAGTACGACACCATCAATTTCAGTTGCTTGTGGGCCACAACCCGTCCAAATTTGGACGGATAGATCTGCGTTTGCTTCAGTAGAGGCCCACCAGACCTGAATCAGATATCTAACATGGTGGTCATGATCGATTTTTGATTCAAAACAGCGTATATATATATACATAGACAACTCTGGATTGGGTATATGTCGTCTGAGACTCGAGCACAGAGGTTTTTCCATGCTGGTTAATTGTCTTCTTCGTGACCCCCCGTGAATCCAACCCAAGCTTGACTTTGTCCTGTTTGCGAAGTTTGCGGTACAGCCTTGCCCCCCAAGTCCTCAGGTCTTCCAAGTTCCAGCTATAACTTCAAACACTTGAGCTCTAGATCTAGCAACTGATCACCCCAATCACCGCTGAGGCCAGATCACAGTGCCGATCAGCATGCTCGGCTTTGGTGTCTTGGACCCATACCAAGCCATCCAACTCGGTCACAAAAAATGAACAATTATTCATATTATTTATTATATAGTCGAATTCATATATTCCACAAATCATCTAATTCTATAACTATATAACTATAAGACTAGAAGCTATATAGCACAATTATGACCTCAGGGCATGGTCCGCTGAGAACCCCGCAATCGGTGGAGCTTGACATCAGCAAACCCACGAAGGACTTTCTCGACCCAGAGCAAGTATGGGCAATGCTTGAAGGTGGATGATCCAGGTTGTTCAATTCCAAAAAAGACAGCTCGAACGGATGCAATGAGGCAAAGGATCATGAGGCGGGCAGATAACCTTAGCAGTTACTACTACTGAAGCCTCTTTACTAGTACAGGCCTGACTGATATCGATTCTTGACAATTAAAGCTCCAAGCAACGTGTTGCTGTCTCGCACGTGCTGTTTGCTTTCATCACCAAACGGGCAGGATTCGCTACGCATCGATGTACCCAGGTTTATGAATACATAACTGCAACATGGCAGGGCGGCAAAAAGAAGGCCAAATTCCATGAGCCTCATAGTGCCTTCCATGGCCCTCACCATCCCACGCCTAAGAGAATTAATTGGAGGCTGCGTGCGCACGGTTCTCCAAACCAACCCCAAAGACCATGGTTATAGAGCCAGTTTTGGGGCACGTCGATCAATCCAGATTCAACAGCTAGTGCTTTGGGGGCCCAGCGTTGTCAAGAGGTCATCCTCCTCCCTCAGCGCCACTTCCAGGAATTCCCTTGGTTGCCCAGGGTTGTACCGATTGTCCTTTTGAGCATCGCTGAGGCATCGGCGTCTTTTTCCCAAGCCGGCCTCGAGAACGACGCCGCTCGTCATGGCCATGGGGAATGTTAGGCTGCACGGGATGAGTTTTGGACCAAACCCACGTGATATTGATTGTTCTCCCGCAAACATGTCGTACGCCACAAGATCCTGGCAAAACGATTTGCTAAACAGCTATTGAATATGGCGCGTGCTAAAAATTAGACACTCCAGACCGAGCTTTGAACCCGCCGCTGATGAGGGCTAACTTGGCATACGTAGTCACAGAGATGTATCCTGAGAGCCGGGTTTGCTCCATATACGTATACATATATACTTGAGAGAGGAGGGGGGTGAACGAAAGGTAGCAGGGAATCAGGCGTAATCCGGGAGGAGGTGAGAGGCCCCCCCACTTGTTTGAAGAGAAGTGAGTGAGCGTGATGAAAGAACAACTAATGCACAAACGCTTGACAAAACCTCCAGAAGCTGTAGCGGTCTAGCGGTTTCAATACAGGTTGACGTGCCTTCAAAAGGAGTCACATATTTCTCAAATGCAACTTCGGATTTACATAGTGACGTGCGGCGACCCTTTAAATTGCGTGGCCGCTGGCCATGCTTGCAAACAGGACGTGCTCAAAAACACTGGTATTTACGAGGTTTCGTTGCCGTCGATCCACAGCCGCGGCAAGGTCTAAGGCCACGCTTGAAGACAGGAGGAGCTGAAAACACTGGTATTTACGGTATTTTGTAGCCGTCGATCCAAAGGCGCACCACGGTTGAGCGCTGGAAAAGCGCAGAAAACCGTGTAAATACCGGCGTTTTCTGCCGGGAAGGTGCACAAAACCCTGTAAATACCATAGTTTTGTGCAATTTTGAAGCCTCCAAAAGCCTCAAAAACCCTTTCTGACAAAATCTTTCCTGGTTTTTGGTCTTTTTTTTGTAATTTTTCTAACCGAGGCGCATCAAAAACCATCGGTTTTTGCGGTGTTTTTTGCCGGACAGGCACAAAAAACGCTGTAAATTCCATGATTTTTGGTCACTGCTGAGGACTGGAAGAGCTGAAAACACTGATATTTACAGTGTTTTCGATCGGTTGACCCCGAGGCGCGCTAGGGTGGAGTTGAAAGGGGGGGGGGGGGGCCCCCCCCCCCACCCAGCAAACGAAGATGTCGGGGACCATTTCTCCGAGAGATAGGCTGCAGCTCTGGGTTAATACATTTTTGCTAAAGCAAAAGGAAAACTCAGGTAGCGTAACCGCTACCTTTCGTGATATGTCTCCAGCTCAATGTACTGGGCTTGCCACACGATCAGTGGAATGCCGCAGGCCAACAATGCTTGGACATGAGATTTAGTCAATTGCAATGGCCGGTGCTTGGCCATCACGGATTCCAGTCTCAAGTTTGTTTGAGCAGCTAGGGTGGTGGCACTCGAAAGCAACAGCAATGACTAAGGAGTAGAGTAGCAGCTAATAGTGAGTAGCTGCTATATTATAGCTAGTTGGCATGGCTCTCAAAACTGGCAGATGCACCAATTGGTTCCGGACGCATTTTGAAGCGTGGCGGATGCACACCAAATGCAACTCCTTTGAAAGGGCCGCGCTCAAAATGGAAAAAGATCTTGAACGAAGTGCATGGAAGGAGGTCACTTCCATGAGGCCAAGATGAGGCACGCCTTCCACCTCAAAACTTAATACAGTGTGAGTCGAGAGAATTATGACTGTTCAAAATATATATGAGGCTTTGGCGCTTGCTCGATGGATTCAAAGCGACGCCACCCCACTGTGAGCCCAGCTCGCTTCTTCTTATTCACCTCGAACAAATGGCTGTTTGACTTCTTTATATATGTTGAAGATGCATGCGCCTCGAAAGAAGTGCCGTACGCAGAGTTGTAATCTTCCACCATGGTTTCATCAACTCCAGTGATGTAGAAACTTCTTGCATAGGCCCTGAGTGTCAGTCAGCTGACTAGGCAACTAGTACTGTTACAACAGCCCTCCCCCTTTCTGAGGCCATGACACCACTCCGATCGATGGCAAGCTGTCAGCGGAAGGACTGTAGATCGTCCACGACCGCCTAGTCGGGAAACCACGGGCATGTGCAAAAGGTTGTGTTTCTTATGGCCTTTTTGATGGGTCTTCAGGGACAAAGAAAAAGTGGTCGTCGTTTTCAAGCTGGAGCAGTGCTTCCATATCGCTTTCCAGAACCTCCTCCATACAAGTCGAAGCAAATCTAGAGGTGTGGGAATTGGAATTGCGATGCTGTTTCATAATACGACGTACATGCAACAGCCATATTACTAGCCAGATCTCCTTAGACTGCGGTTCTTTGCCTTTGGGTTTTCGAATCCTTCGTGTTCGAATCCTTTCTGGCCATCTTTGAAGAGCTAGACGGTGCACTCGCAGCAGGCCGTTTCAGGTTAGGGACAGGAGCTGGTTTGCGACCGCCTCGACCACCTCGACCGCGGCCCCTGCTCTGAGCTTCGCCTCTCGATCTTTTTGGGCCTGACACTAGAGTTTTTTTGAGTCGGACCTAGCACTGCTGCTCCATTAGACCCTCAATTGGATCGCGCCTTCAGGAGATCTTCTTTCTTGTTGTCGTTCTCCTCGCAGGGCAGCTCGGTGTAGACTTCTGGGCGAAGAAGAAGGGGGCGGTGGTCCTCAACAATAATTTTTAAGTTCTTAATATATAAAGAATGCCCAGTGAGTTGATAAATCTGTTCTTTAGGGACTAGGCCTGACATGAGTTTTCCATGGAGGACTTTCCTCAAGTCTAGTACGCGCACAAAAAATCACTGCACGGAATGGTCCTTATAAGTACCCTTCGTGTCTGCCTGATCATCTGGCACCTCACCTGACTCAGTCCGTTCATTTGGCTCCATCTCTTCATCATGATCAGCTCGCTCAGTATCACCTTCCAGTTCACAGTCATCAGGCTCAACACATTCATCGGTGACAGCCGGGGTCTCTTCCTCACCACCTTCTCGGGCATGTTGTTGATCTTGGTCTTCAACTTTCGAGGGTTCCTGCCGGTGAGGAAGCCGCTGTGTAGTTTAAGGTTTGAAGCTAGCTATATAGCAGGTCTTTAGATCTAGATCAATCCCGCCTCTGGATCATGATTGTCAGGCAGCTTCGCCTGTTCATCCTGCCCCAAAGAAGTGCTACAAATTAAGACGTAAAACATGACTGTGTGTGCCTCCTTCGCCATGCGGGCCGCTTCCTTCAGCTTTTTCCAATCAGCATGCGCACTCCCAGCCCTGCAAGACAAATTTGACCTAAACAGTTATATATAGCTGTTGAGTTGAGTTGAACGCTCGCAGGTTTGTTGCCAATCCCAAATCTCTGCCTGCAACCTTTGTTCCGAGATTGACGATGGCATATATAGGAAGCAAATCCCCTCTGCAAAGAAGCCTCCGTGTCACACCAGGCCTGTTCAAGGCACGACAACCCTCAGTTTGAAATTGTAGGTCACCAGTGACATGATGCCTCACTAGATGAACCCTAGTTCGCCAAAAAAGACCGTCGTCCTCTTTCTTCTTCTTGCCCGCTTTGTCGTCATCGAACATGTTGAGGCGGAACTCGGTGTCAACCAGATCCAAGGCCGCCTGCATTGCGCAAGGTGCGGGAGATGTGAAATCGAGGGAGTGCACAGGGAGCGGAAGAATATCCCATGTTTGTTGCACCATGTTGCACCTTGACCTCCTTTTGAGTCGGAAGACCGCCGCCAAACGTCAGCACGTACTGCATGAGGAAGTTGACATTGTTTTGGGTCTTGATGGCCTGATATTTCTGTAATTAGCGCACGAGGCCTAGTTATAAAGATATAGCTGTCATGACTCTAGTGGGCCTGATTCTCGTTGATTGGACCACCCTTCACATCGAGAAAGCTAAAGCCATGGACCTGCATCATGGAAAAAGGATACGGACAACCACCCACAATGCTCTATATCGACCCAAGCCTTCTTACCCGATTTCTTTTTTTGCTTCATGGCTTCCAGACGCTCTTTGATGCATTCCTTGGTGAGAATATCCTGGTAGAGCTCCTGACAATATACATGCACCCCAGACGCTACCAGTAAAATGTGCTCGAAATCTAGATTGATCGATATTCCTGGCCACCTGTACTATATGTTTGTAGGCTTCGTCCTGGAGCAACGCCACTTTGTCAGGCTTTGGCTTGCTGACCGGCATTGCGAGCTTCAGCAGAGACACTACAACGGGGGCCCCAGCAAACCCCACACGTGACCAAAACAAATCAGGTTTAACCATCTAGCTGAACCTTTAAGTAAGCCCTTATTTATTTGTTCAAAGTATTGTGCCCAAGCTCCAGCTGAAAAACCTGTTTGGGCCAGCCAGTGTCAAGAGCAGCTCATGCTGGGCAAGTTCGAGCTGCAGTAGTGTCAATGCAAGCTTTAGTTAAAGCTGAACAGGGCAGCGTACCTGATTCCTCTTCACCCCTCTCGCTGCTGCATGTGCTGTCCCAGCGACCTGAATTATAACAATGCGCTCATGAGAAACAATCTATGAGCGTGTGACTGCACTTCGTGATCTCAGATATCAACGTAATACTTGATTTGCCCGCTTCATGGCCTCAAAGCTGGCAGGTAAGCCCCAGCAGCCCAACACATATATCTTAAGAGATGTTGTTGCTATAGCTGAGTCGATGACCAAGTGCACACCCGCAGGTGTCAGCCATAGCACGTAGACGCAATATATATATATTATTAAATTCAGAACATGTACATTATTGCTCACAAAAATGTATAATCACAGAAGAATTGCTTTGAAGGCTTCACCGCATGGGGTTGCAAGCATGTAGTACATCTCAATGAATCTCGTCTTCACCTGTTGAGCCCCAGGATGCCTGAGGTAAGAGGATACCATCTGGCCAAAGGCCTAGTTAAACTAGGCCTTCACGCAAGGCCTAGTTAAACTAGGCCGAGGACCCACTGGGAATTCATCATCAAAAAATTGGTCCGCAGTTTAAATCATTAGGTTTTATCCCCTAAACAGTGTGGACACACTGAGGGTTTCTTACGGTAGTAGAAAC